CGCGCGCTGCATTATCAACGTCATGAAATCGAACTTGGACGAGGATCCCACTGCAGTGGAACAGGAGCAAACTGAGGTGCCATCATTTTCATAGGCGAAGACCTCATTCCATAATGCTGCGGCGAAAATTCAGCTGCTTGATCATACCCAGAGTTTACATGGTTATATGCGGAGAAACGTGGATACGTTGTATATGCAGCATCATCCCTGGTGGCAAAATATATCGACAATAATTACACAACAAAGGATCGAAGTTTGTCTTGAGAAAGTTGTAAATAATATTGAGAATGAAAAATACAATGCTCTCTTTTACGTGACGGATTGCTCGCCGTAAGAAGATCGATCCAATCTTTCCACGTTATCTGCCATGATAGCCTAGTCAAAACTGGAAAAGAAATACTTTGTCGACAATCGCACAATCTGCTCACCGCGGGAAGTGAAATATTACGCCGCCACAAGCGGATATATCTGTCATCTTCACCTTGGTTACCAACTGTAACCATGCCTGATCACAGGGTAATTACGACTTTTACCTCGGTTAAATTTCTTTTGCCTTTTGCGGCATTTACCAAAGTATCAGTTGGCGTTTACACAGGGAAAATGTTTACCTAGGTAAGTAAACTCTGGTACCTCGGTAAACCGTTCAAGTCTAAACACAGCATAATCAGTTCCAGTCAACGCCCATGAACAATGCAGTCAACTCGATTAAAAGTATTGTTTAGAGACCATGACCTGTGTTCAGTTTTTGCATAAATTCCAGCTGATTTTGTTAATGGCTGATTTATAGGTGCGTAAATGTTACTGTGTTCATTTTTGAGAGTCGACTGTAATAGTTGTATTAACAATATCCATCCTGAATTCTTACTGGTATTAAAAATGCAGAAATAGCAGAAATACGTAATACATCTCCGATAAATCACACGTCACGGTCAACTTGACAACCATTACAACAGGGATGATAATTCTAACTGTGGTCTCGATATCTTTTACTTGATTTAGAAACGAATATGCTGCCTTTTAAGGACCGAGCAAACTGGAGCCCGGCTCAAGCGAGGGGTCAGTTTCGACAGAACATCTTTCCATCACTCCCGACGAGCGGTATATCAGCAGCTTTTACCCAAGTCAGCGTTCACATTGTTCCTTCTTCGGCAGCAGGGCACTTCTCTGAATTTTGCCGAATGAACCATGGTCCGTGCCCAATAGTGCATCAGAGCAAACCAGGAGAAGTGTCCGCTTCACCCATAGCTGCTGATTCGGACATTCGGTAATTATTTAGACTACGAGTTCTAGCTTGTTCTTCCGCCTTATTTACCACGTGAACACGCGAGTAGGACGCCCTTTTCACGCGAGGCCCTTTCACACGAGGCCCTTTCACGCGTCACCTCGCACGAGACAGGCTGATAGCCTTCTCGTTTGAGACGATTTTCGTTCGCGCACTGAGAAGGAAGTGAATAATAAATTAATTGGAAGGATAATAAGGCCCTGTACATATGAAGAGTACCTCTAACCTCTATTTAGCACAGAATGGGAGGCAAGGATACTTGTTCGTGGGCATTACAGTTTCGAGAAGCGAAGGGTTTCCACCTCCACTGCAATTGCAGTCATGGAGGGAGTGAGTTTTGCACAGTAAACTGAAAAGTTTTCGGGTATCTAGCTAACTCGGTGTATATTCGCTAAAAGCGGTACAATAATATACATAAATTCCCAAAAACTAAGTTCAATTTTTAACTTCTCAGGACAGATCAGACAGCATACGGGATATTTGAGCACGGAGTCCACACCAAAACCGTTACAGACATACTGGACATACCATTTGATGACTTTGTTGCGTTCTATCTCGGCTGCAGCCACTCGTTTGAACTCGCGCTAACGAACGCTGGCCTTCCAGTTCGACACCAGCAGGTCGACAGATCTGTGCCGAGCTACAAGACTAAGATTCCTTGCATCTCAGTGGGTCCCTTTTCGGGGAATGTAGTCGCATCGATGCGCCCAATGCCAAGGAATCTAGTTCATAGGGCCGCAGACGTGACTGCCGTTTTGGAACAAGTGCACGGAGCCCCTTTACACGTTGGTGATCCTTGCTGGATTGGTGTTCAGGATCTTCTACACCCTGAATATGATGACGAACCGAATATCAAGGAAGGAGATGTATGTATGTTCTGGGGCTGTGGAACAACTGCAATGGAGGTGTTAACCAATTCAAGTATGTCATGACAAAGCGTTCTCTTATAGGCTAATTACCTACCATTTTTGTTTTGAAAACGTTCCCCGTATAAAAATGAAATCGGTTCTTTCTTGTTCTGATGGGCAATAACTAGGCTTGAGGTTTGCTTCAGAGCAGAGGTGACGACTACTCATGGTCTATCATTCTTGTGTATCAATTCTCTTTTGTTTTTGTTTGTTTGCATATTTCTAAATTAGTTAGTTTGTTTGTTAAATAGGTTGGTTGGTTATTGTTTGATTGGTTAGATATAGGTGATCGGTTGATTGACTGATTAACTGATTAATTGGTTGATCGATTGATCGATCGATCGATAGGTCGATCGATTGATTGATTGATTGATTGATTGATTATTTTGCCTTTGTTTTCAGAACTTCCCCTGATGATAAGCTTGAGCCCAACTGCGAACTGCTGCGATTTCATAACTGATCTAAGCAACGAGGCTTTCAACAAGATGCACACCCCAAAGAGCGGATTTTTTCAAACTCGAGCCGTGTTCATATGTGAGCAGCCTGTTTTGGGCTCCTTGATTTCTGACAAGGCAATGGAACTCATTCAGCAGCTGGAAACACTTGATAAACACGATGCATTAAAACCAGTTATCGAAGTCAACGGCAAACCGGACGAACCAGTTGATTCTCTCATCAAAGCAGCTATGAGGCTCAGCCACGCTTCTTCCGTTGCCATAGTAACGCTGGACGATATTTCTACCAAGGGAGGCTTCAGCGTGTTGTCGGTTATCAAGTCTCTCATGGCAACCCAGACGAAAGACATCGTTCTGCTCGTTCCAGAAGAAAAACACCCAGAGTGGACAAATGCCATTAGCAGTTGTGTAGATTTGAAGATGTTAAAGAAGCCAGTTCGCGTCAGTACATTTGAAACGTGTGGTCAATGCTCAAAGGAAGATACCTTGAAGATTTTGCGTCCCTTGTTGTCCACTATGGATGGCATAAAACCTGTTGGAGATTGTTCTCGCAAATTCACTGCACTGGTTGGGTGTGGTAAAGAAGGTATTAAGGCATGGAGATCACACTTTAACTATTTCCCTTTCTTTCATACTTGAAATACAGGATTAGATTTTCAACAATACAAATATCTCTCAACTACAATATTAATTGTTTGGAGGCGCGGTGGCCTCATGGTTAGTGCGCTCGACTCCGGGTAGAGCGGCCCGAGTTCAAGCCCTGGGGCCCGTTTCTGGAAGGTCCCGATAAGTTTTCGCACCCGGAAAGTCGTAGCAAAATCTCAAACCTTATGATTACAGAGCTGTTTTATTCACATATTCTTAATATGACTAGAAGTTCCCTTCATACAAGAAGTTTCAGGCGTACACAACTCTCTGTTTTTAAATACACATAAACTAAAGATGGCTTTGCGGACCCGAAAAGTTTCCAGAGGCCCGTTTCTCGAAAGCCTCAGAAACTTTTCGGGCCAGTAAAGCCATAGCAAAATCTCGAACCTTACGATTACAGAGCTGTTTTATTCACATATTCTTAATATGAAGAGAGGTTCCCTTCAGACAAGAAGTTCCAGGCGTGTACACTTCTCCGTTTTTAGATACAGATGAACTAACAATGGCTTAACGGGCCCAAAAAGTTTCCGGGGCTTTCGAGAAACGGACCCTAGGGGCCCGTTTCTCGAAAGCCCCCGAAACTTTTCGGGCCCGTAAAGCCATAGCAAAATCTCAAACCTTACGATTACAGAGCTGTTTTATTCACANTACGAACTCACAAAGTAACCAGGGGCCCGTTTCTCGAAAGCCCCCGAAACTTTTCGGGCCCGTAAAGCCATAGCAAAATCTCAAACCTTACGATTACAGAGCTGTTTTATTCACATATTCCTTAATAGGAAGAGAAGTTCCCTTCATACAAGAAGTTCCAGGCGTGTACACTTCTCCGTTTTTAGATACAGATGGACTAAAAATGGCTTTACCGCCCCGAAAAGTTTCCGGGGCTTTCGAGAAACGGGCCCCAGGGTTTTCGAGGAACAGGGCCCTGGCCGGGGACATTGTGTTGTGTTCTTGGGCAAGACACTCTACGCTACAGTGTCCGTCTTTACCCAAGTGTATAAATGGGTACCGGCGAATTTAATGCTGGGGGTAACCCTGCGATGGAATAGCATCCCATCCAGGAGGGGGTAGAAATACTCCTAGTCACTTCATGCTACTGTAACCGGGATATGCTCCGCCCTGATGGACTACTTGGCTCGCATGTAGATTTTACCTTTTTTTACAACAATAATTTCAGAATCAATTACGTACATTTAGCTAAGGTGTCTCCTCGACAATCTCCTAATCGGACTCAAATTCGACTTCAGTAGGTAACATAGCCGCTTGAACTAATTTCTGTTTTTTTTTTTGACATTATGGTCATAGTCATAACAATTTTTCCTGAACAATTCTGTCCAAGGGGGAAAGGTTCATCGAGGTTAACCCTATGTGAAGCACCAGGCCGCGAGACAAAGCCGGACCAAAACACTGGGAACTACATGCCCTACGTTAGAATGCACACTGAACAACGTTTTCTATCATGCCATTGGTGTCCATTAGTACTGGTTTCCCTTACTGGATCGCTATCGTAGTATAGTAATACAGGATGTCATTGTTTAGTTGTTCAAGCTGAGCTTAAAAACTGCTAAAGTATTCATCAAGTTAAGAGGAAGGTGACTAGTGATAAACTCCCAACAGATTTCAAGTCTATTTGTAATTTCTTCCAGGAGGTTTGTGGGTCGAAAGCGAAGCTGAACTGATGGCAGACATTGACGCTGCCTCGACTAAAACCTCTGAATGCACTTGGCCTGGTGAAGTTCTCGCAGGAGCTTTGTACACGTTAAAATGTTGTCCTGTCCATTCTCGGTATCTTCGAAAAGGCTTGGGGCAACACGAGCCTTTGCAGCAAAGCGAATTCGTAATGACGCCTAAAGAGGTACAAAGAAGTCTTTTGGCTTATCTTCATGCATGTTTGCTAACTGTTTTAATTTAGCATAGTAAGTTTATATAGAAAAGAAATGTTCAATCAAGCCTCTTTCCATAAATTTCAATAACATTATTGTCAGCATTCGCAATGATTTAATCTTGTTCCACGACGCTAAATTGTAACAAATAACTGGCGAACGAATTTTGCATGTAATTTCCTTTTGCTTGGCTTCCCCTGCTCTTCGTTTACCCTCCTTTCCTGGACCCAGTGCGCAAAACAAACAAAATATACCATGCTATCGGCTGGATAGTGATTTATCTGGTGGATAGGGTTAACTACCTTTCGAACAACCCGGGCCACAACGATACTTAAACGCAATTGCCCTTACTCACTCCTCCCCCATTCCGCACCAGACATCGTTACAAGAGTCCCCATCCCCCGTTATTTTCCTATACCTACTCATATGCTCAAAACGCTAAAAGGTATTTTACGTAGCGTCCCTTTTTCTCATGTTTCAACAGCTTAGAACTCTGCTATCCAAATTTGAAGTAAAGTTCAGTACTGAAGATGAGGAAGATCTCGTTAAGAAGACGACCATGTCAACAGCAAGCACAATGAAGTGTCTCAATATTGAAGTTTAGGTTTTGCCGTTGAATGAAGATCAAGATTAGTCAACTTCGACCACAACGCATACTATACTGCATTTTTCACTTTGTACGCGTTGCATACCTACAGCGTAAGCGCCTCCATTTTCGTCTGCTGTCGAGGTCGGTTGATTCGGCTTGAAAAGTGCGGCATTTTCATTTTAGTCAGAGATAACCGAGTCTTAGATTAGATAAATAAAATAAAAAATAAAAGACTTCATTTAACCTGAAAGGCCAATCAGTGATCAGATCTTGCTATACAGACACGTGCTAAGTATTACGAGATTTATTCACAAGAGTTAACTGAATTCACAGAACTGAACAGAATTTTTTTTAGAACCACGTGCACGCAATCAGTACAAGCTCAATTGTCATAAAAATACATGAGAAATAAAATGCATGAGAAAGAGGCACATATTCTTGTTAAGTTAATTATGTGATAACCGTTGTTTATGTTACAGTCTGTTGTACCTTACTTTTCAATAAAATAAGCTCAAGTTTGTATCTTACATTGTCTATTTGTTTGCTCGTCTGTGTTTTGCGCTCTGTTTCGAGACAATAATATATGCTAACCGAAAACGCGCGAGCACCCTGGGGAGGAGATTTTACTCCTTCCGATCATTCTTGTCCCCAGTGCTAGGGCCATAGCCAGAAAAAAATTACGATTGAGAGATTGTCCATGGTTAGAATCTCTTCCTTAGTATTTAGCAGTGTTTTACTTTCTCCATTCAACGACAAGAAAAACAAAACTTAAAAAGATGACTGAGACAATTCAAGTGCCTGGATTTTACTGGTTACGGCCTTGAGTGCGACTCGTTTTAAAACGTCGTAACACCGACCAGTCGGTGAGCAAAAGAAACGGAGGCTCATCTAAGCAGGCTCACAAAATAAGACAATTCTGAAATCGAAAGCGGTTAAGTGTCCACGGGAGTGTCCGCTGTTGATCCTATGAGGCCGGGAAAATGTAAACACATGAAATCCACCGATCCTTGTAACTTATAAACCTCTCTTTAAGTTAAACGGCTTACGGACTCGGTAGGAACGAAATACCTAACATAATTTTCGTCACCACAGTTACAGAACAGCTGCACGTTCTGAATAAACAGGTCGAAAGGTTCTCAAAACAAGATATCGCTAGAAATAATCTTCCAAGGTGGAAACATTATTATTATTATTATTATTTTTGTGGAGCAAAGTTTTGTAAAGAAATCTTCTCTTTCTTGACATATGGTGAAAACATCACAAATATCGTAAAAATGAAAACCATGATCAGAAAATAACGTCACTGGATAAGTATTCAGAAAATGATAATAAAGAGCTTAACGAGACCTATTGCACCGTAAATCATTGTTTGTGGTGAGCCAAGGAGTCAAGAATCCTCTCAATGCGATAAAAATGTAGATAAACCTTCAAAACAGCCCGTTGATGGCATTTTTCGCGATTTTCCGTTTGAAATCATACAGTTTCGTAAAATGTTATGCAGTTAATATTTCGTATATTTAGCCAGCTGAAGCTTTTAGATGCTGAAATATTGTTTTTACACCCGTTCTAGACCAAAATATTGATGCCAATTTTTCTCGACCCTTTTTTCCTGTTTTTTCCAGACTGGGTGAGTATATTATCTTTATATCAGGTGATCAGCCACAGTTTCAATTTTTATCATATCAACGCTTACGTAACCACGACACTACTTCTACTGTTCTAGGATCGATCTAGCCGAATGGAAATTTTCTCAGTTTATTTGTTTGTTTAATTTTTTACATTTTTGTACAAGGAAAAGACCTGTTTCTGTGGTAATTTGTGAATATCAGGTTTTAAATTAGACACTTAATTGTCGATTAGGAACGGATACAGATTTGAAATGGATTCTTTATTTACCAGGAGAGCGCAAAATCGAATCAATACGAAGATACTTGTGGGTATAAATATCCCGGGGTGATAAACGGTTTTCGCGGTTGTCTGGGGTGCACTGCCGGAGACTTTCTCTCACGCTTGTTTTACCTAAAAAGGCGCTCTTGTAGTCACTAAAAGCGCCTTATGTTTTTATCGTCTCGTCTTCCCGTTATCACTAATGTCGCTACGTCTGCTAGTAATTATGATAATCAAAGTACAGTATGTTAAGGTGTTCGTATTATTGAGTTATAGGTGTCGTAACGGTATTGGTCACGGTTTTTTGTGACACAAAAGTTACAGGTTCCGAAACCGAAAGAAAAAACACAAACACACACACTTTCCGCCTCAACGACATTGTTTTCAACGGTTAGAACTTGCTCTTTGGTTAAAAGTAGGCAAGAAACGGCAGTGAAGGTAAAATTTTGGTGATATCCCTGTATCCGACGAACCCCGTAAAGAAATAATTGTTACTTGTCCGTCATTCCAGGCGTATTTTGTACTCATTCTCCTACCGTGACATTCATTCACTTGAAGTTTGCCGCTCGTCCGGTCGTTCAGCTGTGCGGGATACAGGAGCGTCAATTTTACTCGTCGCTAACAAGAAAGGTCGTTTCCTTTGAAAGGCAAGTATTCTCTATACTTATTATCGCCAATGATGTTAATTGTAGCATGAGCCAACGGGCTGTAGTTTTGATTTTGGCGTGCTGGGTTTAATAATAAGCTCATCAAAGATATGGACGTCGACCGCCCCATGAATTGGACATCCCAAATCTTGTCCAATCTCGCGTTGGAGTCGCGAACAACCGACTTCGAACTGCTACAACATTCGTTTTCTTATCGCCCACAGCAAAGTGTATTCGATGGAGTAGCACAATAAGTTTTTCTCTCATTATTTCCTTGTTTATATAGCAACAAACGTGAAGCTTTGATAGAGAGGCGTTTTGTTGTTTTAGGAATGAATGCAATGCGAGCAGACATATTTCCGGGCATCATTCTCTTTCGATTTATTACAGCGATAGATATATATCGGTTGATTTCTGGACTGAATAGCTAGCAGGTACAATTCTTGAAGGCTCATCGAAGCTTGTTTTAATTTGTGGGAAACGAAGTGAGCAATTTCCACCTTGCTGGATATTGAACTTGCTTGTGCAGTGTAGCGTTGCCATTCAACAACACCGCGTATAATTTGTTTTAACCCCAAGTATATTAGAGTACCTCTTTGTTTCTTTATAGTTATTGTCCCCTTTGTAAGGATTTTAATCAAAAGACGTTGCTGAAATTCTAACGGAGAGAATATTGATATGTTTTGCCCGCGGCATGGTGGTATATTTCGGTCAGAGGTCATTTAAATGGTTTTCTTGTGATAATAATTATGCGCGCAAATCAAAACACAGTGAAGGTCACTCGAGTCAAATCAATACTCCTTTCAATAACCAATTCAAATAAAACTACTGTTTAATATTCAGATTTAAAGTTCGTGTACTTTCTGATATTTAAAATCTGCTTAATTATTTTTTTGGATCGCCACTTAAGCTTTTAAAAATGCAAATACACGTTAATAGGTTACATGTATGCTTTTATTGTACGTCGGTATGCGTGAAAAAATGTTCGTTTATGTGCACTGAAGAGCATTTCAATTTAGAAAATAGTCTCAGTTTGACAAAATATCAGTCGCCTAAAAGCTTAGTTACAGAGTGGCAGGGAGACACTTACTTGTTTGTCTTGGAGAAATCTGCATTTAAATGGGAGTCGTGTGTATCAGCGATTAAGATATTTTGCATTGTAATTAACCGTAATTATTAGAAACTGGATCACTGGATATTGCAATTCCAGAGTCATCAGAGAGGCTTAGTCATCATACCATTCTCTACATAAATAGTGAGCAGTATGCATAAGTTTCTGGGGCATTGTTATTTTTATTTTATTTGCTTGTGGGATTCCACTTCAAAAATAAACAATTATTCCACTCTTGTGGTTGTTGGATATGAGATGACTATAGCCAACTCAGTGCTGCGCGCCTCGTTGACTTTCTGTCATCTCATATCCAACATGCGCTTGTGGAATAATGGTTAATAATTATTATACATGTGTTCACAGCCATCCAAAAGTCTATAACAGATGTTTCTCATATAATGGTAATCAAGGAGTTGTCCTTCAATAATAAACCATGTATCTCACAGACCTGTAGCCCAATTTCACAAGTCTTGCTACCTCAGATCTTTTGTCTTTTTTGGCAAGGCTTAATATATCTTTGACTCTCAGAGTTAATTAGACCACAAGCCCGAGTTTTCAATGAGTGAATAGTCAATGTGGTGAACTGAGTTGACCATCACTTGTAGAAAATGAGGGTTCACATTTAGTCTAATTGTTTTAGTAGATACTCTAAAGGATTACAGCACAAAACCTTCAATTTTGTGAATTTTTAAGCCTAAAATAAGAAAAATTTTCAGTCTCAAGAGCAGCGTGTTGCTCATTGTCTATTAAACAAAAATTTATTAGATTATGAGCTCGAGATACCTATTGCGTGGTACAATGTACTTGATGAGGGCTCATCACGCATAGAAATTAAGAGCGAATAATCTAATAGGCCAATTCCAATATATTAAAATTCTAAGTTAAACTTGGCTCCGAGGCTTAGGAGAATAAAACAAAAGAAATCATAACAAGGATGAGGAATGAATACCGGTAATTAATTTCTTTTGTTTTATTCCCCTAAGCCTCGGAATAATAATAATAATAATAATAATAATAATAATAATAATAATAATAATAATAATAATAATAATTTATTTCTAGCGCATTACATTAAAAAATCTCAATGCTCTTACAGAATAAAAATGAGAAAAACGATAACAAAACCAATATAAGGAAAATATATTAAATTACAATGGATGATAAAATACTAAAATTCATCATAAGATACTAAAATTCATTATAGAAATACTAAAGATCATTATTAAACAACAGGAACTAAGTTAGAATTTTAATATATCGGAATTGGCCGATAGTTTTAGTATAAATCTACTAGTCGTTCAAAACTTTATCTAAATCCTCTTCACGGATACTTTGAAAATGCCAAGAAGTGTCCGTCATTTTGTTAACAAGGGTACTCTGCTATGCTACTCACTATCTATCACAGAATAGATAGTGAGTAGCGTAGCCAATCAGAGAACGGCATTCATGACAGAACGCTAGTAGATTTATACTAATAGCAAATAGGAAAGGACAAGAGAACCAATCAGATTTGCGGACTCAATAGAAACACAGAAGCAAGAATCTAACAGTCATTTTTGTTTCTTTATCTTGCTGTGCTTTCTGAGAGAAAGGAAATCATTTAAAATTTTCTCCATGTTTCTATCAAGTTATAGACTGAAACACTAGTAAAAGTTTGGGAAAACTTGAAAATACTGTGGAAATACTTGCCTGCAGCTGGTTTTACAGGAATTCTGACTCTCCCAAACTTCCACTTTCTAAATATTAATTATTGGATGACTGTGAAATTGTATATGACAAATCACTAATTATATGCACTAATCTTTCCATCCTTGAAGGCCCAGTGGAAGTTGGTCAGGGTGACACAAAGTAAACTGCAATTTGGCACAAAGAAATACAAAGCAACAAATTTTGTACTCAATAAGTGAAGGAGACTCCAAATGGTCTTAGAACTAGTCAAATAACTCCCCAGGGGCAGTGATACACGTACTAATATTCTAAACTTCCCTCATGCCAATTGTAGAGCTCTTAAGGCCTCCCCCACTCCATGTTGATATAAGCTGCCGTAATAATATCTAAGCTCCCTGCCATAATAAATTAGAAGCCCATTTAAAACCCAGTCAAAGTTTTATGAGTCCAGAGCTTATAACCAGCATTTTTAATTACTATTGTTCTTTTCATTGGTGCTGATTACATGTATATTATTTCTTTTTCATTTACATGTACTAGGAGGTTTTATTTCATCCATACATCGTGGGCAATGTATTGGAGGGCTTGAGGAGCTGACAAGCAACATGTCTAGTGTAGATTCCGAACAGGATAAGCAGCCAATCAGCTCTGTTAATGGACAATCTGGTGACAATGACGCAGATTCAGCTGGGAAAGAAGATGCAGAAGATCATGCTCCATCCACAGAAGGACTGAAGGGAATCTCTGACACAGAAAGTACAGCTATTGTGTCAGGTCATGGTGAAGAAGCACAGTCACCAAAGGAAGGTGTAAATGAAGATGAAGCTAAGGGCTCACAGAGCCCAGAAATAACTAATGGAGAAATTGCTGGAGGCCATGAAAATGAAAATGAAGGTGAAAGCTCTGTTGCAGAAAATAAGCCTGATGAAACTCCCGAACAAGTATTGGACAACAAACAGGTTAATAATGGTGTGGAAGCTGCAGACATTGAAAATGAAACGGTTGAAGCTGGAAAGGAAGTTGAAAAAGCTGCAGAGCAAAATGAACCCGAAAAGAGCAATGATATTGTTACTGCTGTGGAAGATGAGGAACAAAATAAAGTCGAAACAGAACCAGTAGAGGTGGAAAAAACTGTTGATGAACTCAAGGAAGGAGCAGTTTTTGTTGAAAAACAGACTGAGGAGAAGTGTGAAAATCAGCCTTCAGAGGAAAGCAAAGTTGCAGTAACAGGTAAACTGGGCATAATGTACTAGACTGTGTACGTATTGTAATAAGGTAAGGTAAAATCTGCATATGAGTCAAGTGGCCCATCAGGCCAGAGATTATCCCAGTTTCTGTAGCATGAAGCGAATGGGAGTATTTTTACTCCCCTGGATGGGATGCTAGTCCATCGCAGGGTTACCCCTTGGCAGCATTCAATTCACCAGTACCCACTGATACACCTGGTTAGAGAGAGGCACTGTTAGAGTTAAGTGCCTTGCCCAAGGACACAACACAATTTTCCCAGCCAGGGCTTGAACGTGGACCACTCAATCCAGAGATGAGTGCGCTATAACCATGAGGCCACCTTGCTGGTTTTTTTTTTTTTTTTTTTTTNTATAAATTTCAATGAATGAAAACTTAAATTTCATCTCCCTCCATAATGGGACACCACTTTTTCAAACATTCAATTTCCCAAATCATTTGGTTAGTTGAGGTAATTTGCATTCCTCTTCAAGTTGTTGGTTTGAAACAGGTTTCCTTGTTTGAAAATTTCACTGCTAGTGATGCCTGTTGTTTATCTGTCATGGGTGAGAAAAGGGGTAATTATTAAGTTTTTTAGTGGACATTTTGTCTTATGGTGATCACCATATTACACCTGGACATTACTAAGCAGCTGCTAAAAAATTTGATGCTTCAAATAACAGCTTCTAAGAAGACTGGAAGCTACGTGAAAATGTTAAAACATTTTGAAGTACTAAACAGGCAGAATAATATATGTAGACTGAAGTTGTAGACTGCAATAAAGAGCAGAGATGCTTGAATTTGTCGTCATTATTGAATATAAGTGAACTGCAGTACATGTGAAGAAAGAGGCAATTGATATACTGTACATGGCAAAATTGAGGTGCTGGCCTGGTGATATGTGAATTCATTGTTGTCTTATAGGTAATCATGTGAGTGCTAGTGCAATAATTACTAATTAGAGGATTTACACCAATTTGAAAGAATTTTCAATTATAAATAAATAAGGATTTACAAACCCTTAGCTGCTTGAGCTTTCATACAATTACTTGAGTATGTTTACTAAAGTATATGACTGAGAAAGTTATAAATATGCACACATAAATTTATACTGCAGTGCAATTTGAAAATTAACAATAGACTGACCTGCTCTTAGGCGATCACATTGGAGTAATTTCCTCTGCCATAAAACTCAGTTGGCAATAATAGTTACAGTCCAGTCATGAGATTAAAAGCAGAGGGAGATACTTGTTACTCTTTATGCACTTTTGGTGCTAGATCATTATTACATACAGCTTACAAAAACCATAATTAAGCAAGGCTGCCAATAAGGGCCATAATCCATAACACCTGTTACGGCTGAGTATGTTTGATGGGCCCTTGATGCTATGGGTGAACTGGACTATAGTTGATACAACTCACCCATAAGGCAACAGTTTGTTATGGGTGTGAAGATTAAGGCTACAGGGGAATCAAAACTTAATGACAGCCTTGTTAAGTTTTCTTTTTTAACTCTTTGAAGACTTTGAGGCTGCTGACAGGAAAAGAGCAGTGACCATCGATAATCCAGTGGATATGAATGAACTGACTGCGAAAAGTGGAGAGTCACCACAGAAAGCAGAGGATATTCATGACAGATCAAGAACTCTAGGAGATATTGAGGGAAGAGCTTCGTCACCTTTGAAGGTATATTATACTCACTTTGTATCATCTTTCCCTTCTCTCCATGTGGAGAATGGGACCATCAATGATCTGCCTCCTCCAAGCAATTCGGTCTTTGGCCACTACACTAAATTGTATCTTCAAGGTACAGTGCACACATATTACTGTGTGCTTTGCCTGTATGCTAAGGTTCTTGCTGTTTCAGTCCTGTCTGTGACTTTCTTGGTCATATATATTCATTCCAAAAGACCACTAAGACAGAATTAGTTATCTACCGGTAAAGCTTTGTCATTTACTTCCAGCTTCAGCAAGGAAGTTTTAAGCCACCTCTTTGCAAATTATTACATTTTTTTTTTGTATCTCTTTCGCTATGTTCTCATACAACCGATTTGTGTGATGTAAAGGCTCTGATGAAATTGATACTTGACTTGCTGCAGATGCTTTCCGTAGATTTATAATGTTGCTTTTAACCCTGAATAGGAAGACGTTGCTGTTAGATCACGGACAATTTGGTACACAGATGAAGTGGAAGACACCCCATCAAAACCTGACAGTGCAGCGACTGAAGAGACCGTTAGTTATTCGACAAGTATTGTAGGGGGTGTGGTTCATAGAATGCCAATCTCATCGTAAGTTTGAACATTATTTGAATTTTGCATTGTGCATGTTTGACTCAGACTTAACTAACCAGGCTCCTATTTACACAAAATTATCGTAAGGTCTCGCGTAATGTAACCAGGATCTAGTTACTTTCTGTGGGAGGCACCATGAGCTAATGGTTACCACTTTGGACATCATGTAGAGTAGTCCGGGTCTGAACGCCAGCTGGGTCACTGTAGACTTTCTAAAAGCTGTTCACTTTCAGTTGAATGTTTTGCACTACTCCATATATGATCTACCTTGCAGCCTTTGCACTTAAGTTTTGACTGCAGCAGACATTTTTCACTCTCTGAGTTCAGCTTGTGGAGCTCAACCTGTGGGCAATTCTACATTCATTGTGTTGTGTTTAAGTGCAAGACACTTAACTTTGAAAATTCAATTCATAGGGCCTCTCTCCACCCAGGTGTATACATATAGCTACTGGCAACTCCCCCCTGGGTGGGATGCTACATGTAGTCCCCAACAGGGTTACTCACTAACCTTTGATTTGCTGGTAGCTATTTAAGTAGACACTTGGGTGGAGAGAGGCACTGCCAGAGTACAGATTCCTGGCTGGTGATGGAAAGAAATGTGGTCAACTGTGTTTGGTGATCAAAGGAACGTTATGTTTTCCTTGTTTATCACACATAGTCTACATGTATTTATGCACACTCTATCTTTACCTAATTTCGTGTTTCAATCTTAAGCTCACCCAAAACCCAACACAAGCCCAAGGAAGGGGGTAGTCCACAGCTCTCGCCATCAAAGAAGAGGTCAGTCATAGATTCTCTGCTTGGACGGCATAAAAAATCCAAAGGTAGCCCTGAAAGTCCGCAAAGAAGTAGTGCCGGAGTTCAAGATGCTGAGAAAGAAAGCCAACAGGGTCCACCTGAATCCACTCCTGTTACTCAAAATGGCGTTGTAGATGCTGCAAAGAGTGACACTGAGCCATCAGGGAGTGGGGCTAGCGCAGAGATTGCAGAAGCTAAAAGCCCTGATGTAGATCAGGAAACCCAGGTCAAAGATGCTACGGAGAAAGAAGGTGGAGGTGATGAAATGAAACTAGCACCGGTAGCACAAAGTGAAGAAGATACTAAGCAAGAAATAGCTGAGGCGAAAGAAGGGGAGGTTGAGTCCCAGGATGCTCAGGAGGTTCGGGTGCCAGTAGAGGGTGCAGAGGGGAAAGGTGAGACCAGCACTGAAGTTCCCGAGGGTGAACAGCCAGAAGAACCTAAGGACGCTGCTAAAAGAGCTCATTCGGATATTCCAGAGGAAGAAGAGACTAGTCCCCAACCTGTAGTAAAGAAGAAGAAACCCATTTTTGGTGGTATCTTTGCTCGGCGCAAGAGCAAGAAATCAAAAGGTGATCTCGGAAGCCCTCCTATTGAAACAACACAAGAGAAAGAAGGTGGAAAACCAGATGAGGAGCAGCTGAGAGAAAGTATGTCGACAAAGCCTGCGGATGATGCTAAACTTCAGGCTGTGGAAGAGGAAGAGACAGTAGAAAATGGCACAGACCAAGGAGGTTCACCGGACACAAGTCAGACCACTGATACTGCACAACAGGAAGTAACAGAAGATATGATTAGTCCGGCAACTGATCAAGCTGTAGAAAGTGCTAAGGAAGAAATTGCTGATGAGGGACAACAAGAAGTACAGACAGCAGCTGAAGGGGAGGAGCCAAGTGCCAAAGAGGAAGAAACTGTGAAGACTGAAGATGTTCCGGAATCCACCGAAGAACCATTACAGTCTACAGATGCCGATGGCGCTGTTGACAAAGAAGAAACAGAACAACAGTCAGTCCCCAGTCAAGACACTCAGCCAGAGAATAAGCATTCTATTTTCAGTGGGTTTTTTGCGCGGCGTAAGAGCAAGAAATCGAAGGAGTCTTCGGCTGAAACACCACAAGAGAAAAGTAACAACGTTGAGGAGCAACAACAAGGTGGAAGTGAGTCGACAAAAGCTGCAGACGATACCAAATTGCAGGCTGTGGTTACTGTAGAGACATTAGAGAATGGGACAGACAAGGATGCAGCTCCAGAAACAAGTGGCACCACTGATGCTGTACAACAGGAAGTAACAGAAGATGCCATTAGTCCAGCAGAAGATCAAGCTGTGGAAAGTGCTCAGGACGATATAGCAGATAAGGAAAAAGTCGACGAGAATATTGCAGAGCAGGAAGAAGAGGAAGCTATAGGAGGGGAACCAAGTGACAAAGAAGAGGAAACGGTTGTGCCTGAAGATGCTCAGAAACCTGCGGAAGAACCATTGCAATCTAAAGATGCTGATGCCACTGTCGAGAAAAAAGAAACAGAAGAAGTACCAGTCCAAAGTCAAGAAAGTCAACCTGAGAAAAAGCACTCCATTTTCAGTGGTCTTTTTGCGCGACGTAAAAGCAAGAAATCAAAAGGTGACGTCCCAAGTACCCCTGGTGAAAGACCACAGGAGAAGGAGGGCGACCAAGCAGTTGAGGAACAGCAAGGTGACAGTGCGTCAACACAAGCCGCAGATGATGTTACGCCACAGGCTTCGGAAAGCGAAGAGAAACAAGACAGTGCCGTGACAGACCAGGATGCGCCAGCAATTGACACCAGTGCTACTGAACAACAAGAAGTAAGAGAAGTTGTAATCAGTCCAGCAGTAGATCAGGCTGTGAAAAGTGCTCAGGACGAAATAGCGGATAAAGTCGATGGAAATATTGGCGAGCAGGAAACAACATCAGAACAGGAGTCAAGTGGCAAAGAAGTGGAACCTACCGGAACTGAAGATGTTAAACAATCTACAGAAGAGGAAAGTGAAGTTGCTAACCATAAACCTAGGGTTGAAGAACCTAGTGAAGACACAAGCAAAGAAACAAGTGGTATGTTATTTACATTCTTCTGTACTGTATTGTACTGTGTTGTGTTGCGTTACGTTACGTTGCGTTGTGTTATCCATGAACATTACGTGGTATTGCGTTGTGTTACGTTGTGTTACTACAGCTATCAAATTGCTCTGATGGTATCTGCTATGATGGTGCTGAATCAGCTGTTTGCTGCTAGTTAGTTTCCATCTGCGTAAGTAATAGAGCCCTTTTTCCGTGTTTACATAGCCTCATCTAAACATGAGAGGTACAGTGTATTCGGAGAATTCGAGACGAAACGCAGTCGAGGGTTTACATAACTTTCGAGATTCTCAGTTATTTTATAAATGTTAGGAGGAGCAGGATCAGGAGCAGGATCGCCCTCGTAAGCTTCATACAAGAGGTACATCTTCTCTCTCTTCAGTTTCAGACAGGCCTGCAGGGGAAAAAGAAACATCACCTGAATCAGAAGAGGCTCAAGATAAAGGCGATGTAGTGTTACGGGAACGCATTGCACTGACTCATGGTTCACACATTCCCAAAACACACGGCATGCAAATGAGGATTAGTTATGCTGAGACCATCGGAGAAGGCAAGTGATTATTTACTGACTTGTCACACGCTCAAAAGTTCATTTCTCTTTACTAATTTAATACATATTTCGGAATTTTATTTTTAAGAATTTAGTAGTATATCGAGGCACTGAGTTATTATGCATGTACGGTCTTAGTCTGTGCGTGGCTAGCCCCGATCGCTTCACTGTTGCAAATTTTTCAGTTCCGCGCTCGCCGAATGTTTTTTTCCGTCCTCGCCGGGAGCCTGTTCGCAGGCTAGTGCGTGGCAAGAAGACTGTGATCGAGACTTTGTCTCCTCGTTGACGATTTTTTCTTTAATTATTGTCGTCACTGTTCTATTTGAAAAATGCGTTGGTGTTATAAGGAGTAGATAGACTTTGATCATTCTCGGGAATAATTAAGTAAACTAACGTGAAAGCATCGTATATTTGTTCGAGGATATTTTTTCTGTCGCGAGAAGGAAGCAGATTTTCGGGAGAGAATTTTGATGAAAACACATTAGCTTTGAGGAAGAGATTACGCCCACAGTCAAATATCTGAGCATATGTAAACAGTAGCTTCCATTTGGCGCCAAAATATGCTCGGATATTTGTCCGCGGACAATATCTGTTACGAGAAGCGAACAGTTTTTCGAGAGAATGAAAAAGTGTGATGTGAATTTTACCGTGTTCCGTGAGACGTTTAGACCAATAGCGCGTGCAACAAAAAAAGTATTATTATAACTCATTCCATCTTACCATTTTATTAGGCGGTCGAGAAGTCGAGGTGATTGGCACACCAGAACGAGTCTCTGAAGCAACCAATCAGAAAGGCAAAACGCCTCCTGATCACCGCGTGTCATGCCGGGATCTGGGAGACGCTGATCACGAGGGATGGCTTACTAAGAAAGGTAAGTACGTAGCAGAGGGGTGGGGAGGGTGGTAGTACTAATAAAGTCATGTGACTTGGAGCGACTCCAAAATTTTTTAACCTATGTTGTATGTTTTTCCAGGAGGGCCTCTGTTCTTTTCTAGCTGGAAGCCCAAGTGGGTAGTTTTGAAGGAAGGAAAACTGTATTACTTTAAAACTTCCTTTGACCCCGAAGCCGGTGGAGTTATCAACATGGAAGGAGTGACTGTTGCTCCAGCACCTGAAACGAAGAAGAACTTGTAAGTTCATTCATCACACGTACTTGCTTGATTCCCCACGAAAACAACACACCAGCTTTCCACTAGTGACGTGAAAATGTTGCTGCTTACCGGGAAAATTGGGAAAGCATAAAAAGTTCGTAGCTTTTTTCGTTTACACAATCGACCAAATTCCAGACATTTTTTCAATCTAGTAGACTGGCGCGTAGCCAAATCTCGCGCATGCTTATTACGTTTTTCCGCTCTGAAGGTTCGTTGCCGTCGGAAGCATGTTTGACCTGTCGTCAACCTCGTTCCCAGGGTCTCTCTTGTTCCCGCCCTTGTTTCTCACGGGAAGATGAGAGACACTGGGAACGAGGTTGGCCTGTCGTTTCAAACCGCCCCTAAACCAGCTCTATTCTAGATAAGGGGTGTACTTTCATTTTGTTAGTTTGTAACTTTTTTTCTTTTTCCTCACAGCTGTTTCAAATGTGAGCAGCCGGGCCCCAAACCTCAGGTGTCACTCTTTAAGGCGGACAGTAAAGAAGACATGGAAAAATGGCTGACGGTGTTAACGGCTGCTTCTAAGGGAGAAGTCATACACAAAACAAAACAGCACCATCTGACGCCCATGGGTGAAGTCGCCATGCGAAAAAAGTCAGGATCCATTTCAACACAGCGGACCAGTTCAGTTCTTGGTCAGTATTTAGGGTTTGGTTCTTTCGCTGTTTAATTGATTAATTAAATCCCTCAGCTGTTGTTTGGGTCACATGGTGCTTCAGCTTTATTGTCGTGAGACTCCTGGTATGACGAACCAAATCACAGCCAAACCGAGGATGGAAATAATATATCTACCATGCTCCTAATTGCCTCAAAAGTGTGGCTTGCAAACATATTTCTAATAAAGAGCATTTTTCTCGTGACGTCAGGGCAGCCATATTGGTGTTCCAAAACAATGAAACGGCGGCCACGTTGGTATACCAAACCGACCCTGTGGGAGTTGAACTCTTTTCTCATTTAAACACTTCCCTTTGTTTCAATAAATTTGCATGTGTACTGGCCACGTGAGTGGAAATGTTCTATATTTTCTCCATGATTTCTTATTTATTATCGTTACTACGTTGTAGTCCTTCTTTGCAACTGAACTGGGATTGTAAGAGATTCTGCGCGAACTGATGATGTATACTCTTCTTTTGCGTGACGGTTTGGCTTGAAATTTCCCTGTAGTTAAGCGTCCCTTTCCAAACTCTACAACATGGTTAGCAGTGTTAGTTAATCGAAAAAAATTTGAAACCGATCACTGCGTTTATACAACCTCTCAACTTAATTTGAGGTAACGCATCTGGTGTCATTTCAATTGTAGCTGTTGGAGGACGCCACGACTTTTTAGAAGACGAGGAAGACTTGAAAGCAACACGAAGGAGGTCTACATCAGGCTCTCTGTCGAGATCACCCGAAAAAACGGAAGGGAAAGACAAACGACCGTCCGTGTCCAGTGGCACGCATCCAGTCGTTACTGAGACACACCCGGTACCTGAAGACACACGGCCAATACTTAGTGACACACAGGAGGCGTCTCAACCATCTGAAGACAAACCAGAAGAAACGAGCAAAAGTAGTGAAAGCGAGATGACTGAAAAGCCTGTCCCTGTGGTGGATGAGGTTTTAGTGAATAGTGAAAAGATAGCGGTTGAGTCTGTGCCTGTTATTGAAGTGTCTGACCAACAAGATACACCCGCTGTAGAAAGTTCCAGCGACACTGCCCAAGAAGTTGCATCTTCGCACGAGGAGGAAGAAGGAAGTAAAGGGCAAGCTAGTGTTTCCGTGGAGGTGACGGCTGAAGCTGAAAGCGCACAGCCGGAGCAGGAATCAGCTCCAGACGTTTCGGACTCTACAGTTGATGAAACAGACGGGACTGTAAGCACAGTGACGACCGAAAGCTCACTTACCGTTGTAGAGACAGTAAAATCCACTTCCGTTATTTCAGAAAAAGTCGAGACAGTAGTATCAGTGGTTAAAACAGAAGTAACAGAGGTTAGTTCTGCTCAACAGCCGTCAGAAACTGACGAATTTAAACAAGACGCGAAGGAAGACATGAAGGAAACGAGTCTAACCCAACTTGATGAACCATTGTCGCCGTCGAAAACCAAATGGTACTTCACATTAGACCGGCAGGAAACGTGGTCTGTGCCACCCGAGGTCGAACCAGAGAAATCTTCGTCGCCTCCCAAGTCCCCCGGCTCAAGATTCGACAAAGTATCGATTAAGAGCGACAGAGGATCCATTAAGAGCGACAGAGGATCCATTAAATCTTCGTCGGACGATGACGATTTGTTGGTCATGTTTCAGAATGTAAGAAAAGCGCGCCTGTCAATAGTGGGTGATCACGTGTGGGACTGTCCAGAGAGGTTGCGGGCGCTGTCTTCGGTTCATGATGGTAATGAGGAGACACTTGTCAAACTTAGAACACTGGAAAGAACTCTTAAAGTAAGTTAAGTTTCTGAGCTTTTTTTTTTTCTTTTTTTTGATTTCAAGTAACGAGTGTAAAGAGGTGGCACAATAGAGGATTAATCATTTTAGATCACCCCCGGAAATATCAGGACGGTCCGGAAATATCAGGACGGTCCAGAAATATTCCCAGGTCTTCACCCTCCCCATTTTCATCCCCCGCGAAAACACTAGCTCAACTCGCCTGGTAACATCCGCGGAAGAACTGGGTACCATGTCTAAAAATAACGTGAGAGGGATTACCATGGCAACAAGGCCTCTGTGGAGGATCAACACTCTAGATTTCACCCTTCATCCTTTCTTGTATTTTTTTCCTAATTGTAACAGCGTATACAGTAAAGGTAAGGCTAGCTTGAAAGATTTACCGATATATGTAACATTTTTTGTGTTTATAGGATAAAGAGAAGCATCTGTCAGAACTTGACGAACTGCTGACCCAACCGGAAATAAACCGAGACTCGATGTACGCGTGGAAATCACGTCATTCAGATCTACTGGAGGAGTTATTTCTTCAGTACGATGGGGACATGCAGGAAGAGAGCAAAAAAGCAGCTGAGGGAAGGGAGGGTGAAACGCAAGACCAACAAAGTTCTAAATCGGGGAAGGAGGATGAGGAAGCAAAATCTTCGGAAGGATCGGAAAAGGAAGTCAAAGAGGAAACGCCTGAGGAAGTGGCAAAGAAATCAGACGAAGAGCAGGCGACTTCTTCTAAGAATGAGGACGAGGGAAAGATGGACGACAAACAAGTAGCGGATGAAGGAAAAGAGGAAACCGTACGAGACCAAGAAAATGTCCAGGACGAACGACCATCAAGCGAGAAACAGGACGATTCACAGCAAAAAGAAGATAACAATTTTATAGTGACTGTGGAGATCCAACAAACCCCGACCGAGAGTGTTTCGGTTACAGACTCAGAGCAAAACGTGCAAGAAGCAGGAACACATCATGTCAAGCAAGCACAGGAAGAAGAGACCGTGTCTAACAATGAACAGAGACTCCCTGACAGTCAAGAGGAAAGCCACGAGCAGGAGGATAGTGATGTTCAGGATACGCGCTTTTGATTCATTACAGAACAAGATAGACTTCTAAAGTCGGTCTCCTCGAGAGATGCGGGAACTGAAAGGTAAAGAGGTTGTAAGTTAGTCAAGAATCAATTAGCGTATTGCTTTTTGTCCAGTAACACGGCACATAACCATGCCAGCTAGGGAAAGATTACAAACAGGTAGGGTCGATTATTTGAATGAAGCCTAGGTAGTATTTAGCAAGGTCGCGGATAACATTACGAACGCCGTCTTCATTATAATTTTGGATCATTTTGTTATAATGAGTTAGCTTCTGTAGTTTAGTGATTACGAGTCCCTTTTAACCCGGTTTTAGTCGGCGCTTTATTCACCCAAACTGACCGGATCTATTCCTATTTAATTAAGTGCAATAAGTATTGGTGACGGGTAAAATTAGGAGACAATGTTACTCTCGTTATGTCAAAATTCTAATTATTAGAATTTCGACGAAACGCAAGTGAAATTACTTCGTAATTTCACGTGTATACCATTTGATTATCGTTCAATATCATGGGTGACAAATTACGCTTACGATCGTGGGTTTTTGACTTGTGTATTGTCGAGAGGTCATCGAGAAATTTCGCGCCAAACGTTGCCATGGCAATTCTATAACTTCATATGTGAAATTATAAATTAACGCTGAAATTTCGCGCCAAAATTAAGGAGTATTTTGTCATCCATGATATTAGAACGAGAATGATTCCTAACTCAATATGCAAGCGAACCATAACAGACCATCACGCGCTTGCGTACGCTCAGTTATTAGCCGCTGTTTGGGAAAGGAGTCCGCGCTCAACATAAACCAGAGAGCGGCGGTAATCCAGCCTAGCGCATGTTGGAAATTATGATTAGAAAAGTCAACATCTCAGGGAAAAGCAACGCTTGAATGGGAATCCGATGACAGACGTCTTCCTTCAAAACTGTTTCCTTGAAATTTAAAAAAAGTTGTGCGGGAAACAACGGTGAACTCCTCTTTACAGTTTAATTAATCAAATGATGCTTGCAAAGCAAAGTGATTTGTTGTTTACTTGAAAATAGTTTGATATTTTACACATTTCATATATTCACTTGCAAAAAAAAAGAAAAGATATATTCAGTACAATTATTAAATATCATAACTATGAATGTCTGGGAAGCAAAAGAGGTTTTGTTTCCATCACATGACCCCTTTTGTTTGAATGGAATTCATGAACCACAGGAATTGCGAAAATGTTCAGCTTTAGAGCATTCCATAACAAATTTATTGCGGAAAGACGAAGAGTATTTTGAAATTTTGAAATTTGCTATTATCATTATTCACCCATCATCACAGATGAAACCTTGCACTCTCAAGAGCTCCAGGATCAAATTTGACAGAATATTCCTAATTTAAATGTTGTAACAATACCAAAGAGCAAACATTACCACTTAAAAGTGCTGCTCATTTACCTGAATGGATCATCCACAGAGTGAAGAGTAAGAACGACTTTTTACAGCAGAGCGAAAATGTACAACAACATTAGTTGAAGGTTTGTCTGGGGAAGAAAGAGCATCTCAGCGGGTTATTGTTTTTTTTTTTATTCCTCAGAGCAACATGGTGGGTCGTTCCGTTTTGGTGGTATTAATATTTACCAGTGACTTAATCGTTTTCTTTGTAAGCTGTACAGCATCATCATTGTCATGATGTGGGAATGAATGTTTGTGTTAAACCAGTAACCTGCCAGTTTAACCAAAGATCATATTTGGTATATCATAACTGCCGATACTCCCAAGTCTGTGAACAGGCTCCCTTGTAGTGCGTGTTCCGAGGGCGTTATTCCACCCCAGGCCACACTCGGCTTGCTCGGCTTTCCGACTATTTTGGATCGGGTAGGAGCCCTCGTGAGGTCGTAGATGAAAGGCTTACTACACTTTGACAGACAAATGGAGCAAATAACAAAACCAATGTCCTTAGCCCCAAAATTACAAGCTTACGAGAGCTGGCTGCTACACTTCTGATTATTTTTCACCCAATAGCACGCGACAAAGGACTAGAGAGGCTGTTCACAGTTCAGTAATGATGTTGTCCGTGTTTATATTGGAGAATGCATGTACACCAGGGTTTACTTCAGGAGTTTGCAAAGAAGGCCCTTATCTAGAATTTCAGGGTTTTTTTTTTTCTTTTCAAGATAAGGGACGAAGACATTGGATCGTGTTTGCTCGGTCTTTCGGAGCCGGACTTCATAAACAGAAAGCTTGTGTTTTCAAAAGAATAAATCATTAAGACCGTCAAATTTGATGGTCAAACCTCGATGTATTCCACATCAGAGATATACATCTCAAATTCAAAAGAAATATTTGTATACAGCATTTTTGAGTTCTTCTCCATGATGAAAATTTTACGCCAAAAGTTTTTATAAGCTCAAGGATAAATTTCAACTGACAATATTTTCCTAGAGTAAACCCAACTGGTGTAAATGCGAATGAAGCACTATATGGATATTATTTTGTCTTATTTTGGATGACTGATACCATACTTTTATACAAATAACTAGTTACAAGTAACTTGTTATTAGCCAAGGCTTTATCAATTACACAATTGCAGAATGCAATGAAATTTTCTAAAACGCTATGTCATGGATATAATAAAATTATTTAATGGAAAAAGTGTGGAATAACTTATAGTTGTAGTTCGAATTGTGATTACTTTTGGCCTTTTAAAAGATAAGAGTGCTAAGCTGTAATTAGTTCAACAGCGAAATCGCGTCACACTTTATTAGTCATGCCAATTAAAATTACGGTCACAATCTCCTCCGTCAACTAAGAAAAAAGCTTCCATTTTAACTGAAAAATCTGGTACTGACAATTGACCCACACCCACTCATCCCTAAAACTTGTCTCGCTGTTCCAGTCCGGTTCCTGTTCCTGTTCCTTGTCATTTTTGAATTTGTATAAATAGTCTGTACCAGGTCTTCCAGGCCAATGGGGCCGATCAGCTTTTTTTTTCTTTTCTTTCGTCGCCGCCGGCTTTTTCGATCGTTCCCACTGACCGAGAGCCTCGAACAGGTTATTGTCTCAACTACAATCGGAACCAGAACCCGTTTTACTAAGCATCGTTAAGTAATACCCTAGAAAGTTCGCGTGACAGTTCTTGTGACCGGCATATCGTTTTGGTTCAGAGAAATCACGTGACCGGGAAACCATTTTGTTTCTGAGAAATCACGTGACTACTACGAGTGCCTCTGCGAGGAACTATTGAAATTCGTCTGATTGCACTAAGGACCATTTTCGTTTCTTTCTAAGTTTTCAATATGGATGTTCCAACTCTGATGCACAACCTTAAGGAGGAAGTAACTTGCTCTGTTTGTATTCACTTGTACGAAGAACCTAAACAGTTGCCATGTTTGCACATTTTCTGCCTTGAATGCTTGAACGACTTGGCAAGGACGAGCGCCCGCCATGGAAAGATCAAATGTCNTATTCACTTGTACGAAGAACCTAAACAGTTGCCATGTTTGCACATTTTCTGCCTTGAATGCTTGAACGACTTGGCAAGGACGAGCGCCCGCCATGGAAAGATCAAATGTCCACTCTGCCAGATTGAAGTGGCTGTTTCTGAGAGTGGCAGCATGGAAACTCTGCCAGACTGCTTTTACTTGAAAAATGTGCTCGATATTTTGGCAATAAAAGAATGTAACACATCAAAAGTGACTTGTGGAAACTGTGGTCAGAAAAGCGAAGATGCAAGTTATTGTTTTAACTGTGGCAAGTTTTGGTGCAAAGATTGTATAAACGCGCACAACATCTTGAGGGAAAACAAAGAACATCGTGTTCTGGCGCTCACAGATTTTCAAGAAAAAGACTTCCAGGATGTTCTCAAGCGTCCGGCATTTTGCCGGAAAGAGCTTCACGAGAAAGGAGTGTTGAAGTTTTACTGCAAAGAGTGTGAAGTTCCCGCTTGCCAGACTTGCGTAACTTTGGAGCATAACAGACATGAGGTAGAACATTTGGAAATAGCTACAAGAGCGGTGAAGGACAGCCTCGCGACTCAACTTGAGACTACAAAGAAATCATGCCAGACAATGTCCATTCACATTCGAGAACTGGAGGAACAGACCCGCATTACTGAACATCGCTCACAAATTGTGAAGGATCAAATACAGCAAACTGTTCATACAATGATCTCGACTCTACAGCAACAAGAACGAAAGTTAGTAATGGAAGTGGAAAACCAGACAAAGGAAGCAATTGAAATGTTCGCGAAGGACAAAGCTAAGTTTCAGGATCAACTAAAACAGAGAGAAAAAGTCATCACACAGGTTGAGCGCCAGCTTGAACGCAGTAGTGGTGCAGAACTTGTGCGAGGAAAATCGAGTTTGAATGACTTATTTCGAGAACTTCCGCCCACACCAGCTGTCCTCGCCTCATCGTGTGAAGGGAGAAGTCTGGCCACTGTGTTTTTACAAAACCGAGCATTGCTTCATAGTCTTCAAACTTCAGGCATTGGACGCCTTGATAGAACTGCAGTACAAGCGATTCACTGTACTGTTGAACTAATAAATGAAGCCATTGCCGGGCTGGAAACACGGCTGGAGTTGATCACTCGACGTTTGGATGAAGAACAATGTTATTTCACCAATTTTTCCACGGACATTGTTATTGTCAAGGTCGCGTCTGTATAAGGTGGTACATTAGCCGGTGACATGCAAATTAAGGACAGGAAAAATGGCAGGTACGAAGTGTCATGTATTCCAAAACAAGATGGAGAACATCAGATTACAGCGGTCATAAATGGACAAGAATTTAA